TAACAGAGCTATGACCTTTCACCGCGCCATTTTGAAATAATAAACTTTCATAGTAAACTTTTGACACACCGTGAACTTGCATTAGCATGAGATTTACTGGTACAACTGTGTGAACAAATGTTTGCGGCGTATACTGTGGTACAGTGTTCAAAATAACATTTATAACCCACATCTCATTAATGGCACAAAATGTTCTCCTACAAAATTCTAATTTTTCTCCATTAAAGCCATTACTGTTACTTTCATGTTGGCCTCCACTGTCATATCCTTGCCCTCGTAGTTCTTGTAGAGGCAGATTAGAACAATTTTAACTATATCAGCATTCCTTGTCTTTTAGTAGAAAACACCAAAGGAATTGCGCCTTGATACTGACCCTGCCCTCTTCAGTCATAGATGCATCATAACTGTGAAAAATCAAATGGTCACTCTTTTCTATTCTTTGTCGTTTGTTTTTGTTTTTTTTTACAGTAATTGAGCCGGCTCATTTTGGATATTCTTTCCCAGTTACAGCTCATAAATTTCTTTGATGGCAATTCCTCTAAAACGTTCTTCCATGACAGGTTGTTGTTGTTTATTATTAAGCACAAAGCTCCACAAAGGACTATCTGTGCTCTGCCAACCACGGGTATCGAAACCCGGTTTCTAGCAGTACAAGTCCACAGACATCCAGCTGTGCCACTGGGGGGGGGGGCTCCAAATTCGATGGCCAAATATTCAATAAATCTTCGGGGGTTAAATGCAACATTGAGATCCATAAACTCTTATCAAAGTACTATGATTTTCAAGTACAACTTGCTAATGTTCCGCTCTTGTGTAATCAGGCGCACAGCCTGCTGTATCGACTGTTATTTTCCTTTCAAATTGTAATGCTTCATACTGTTGAAATAACTCCAAATTAGACGTTGGCTTTTTATGTCGACTTGCTATTTATAAACTTTTCCAGTTCTTTGTTTCGTTTGATGACAGTGAAAGTTAGATGTGTCGGAAATTCTTGCAGCAAAAACAAACCATTAAATCGCATATGACTTAATATTAAACCCAACCTTGGTACATCTCATTGAAAGAGCTTGTGATGTTCTTTCCCTTCTTGTGCCCCCTTGTGGCACAGCGGTATGTCTGCGGACTTACAACGCTAAAAACAGTGTTTCGATACCCTTGGTGGGCAGAGCACAGATAGCCCATTGTGTAGCTTTGTGTTCAATTATAAACAAACAAATTCCCTTCTTGTATTTGGGAAAAAAATAAAATGTTTGCTGCTGTACTGTACAGGAACAATTTCGACCAACAACTGTCGCACATTTACGTCGATTTTCGGCAAATACATATTCCTGTCTGCCTTTCTTCTTTAGAATTATCCTTATCATGAAAAAAACTTTTTTTTTCCTAAGACAACCTAGCATAAAATTTTAGCATTGATATTTCCTCTAGTTTTGTTAACAGTAGATCCTACTGGTAGGCTTTTCGTATATTTTAATATGTGACGATGCAAAAAACTTCAAAAAATCGCCCTTGCGATTTTCAAAATCAGCTTTTGTTTTCAGCTTTCCTTCTCTGATGTTGAGAACCACGAAGACGGGTCCTTCCAGCAGCCATGTTTTTCTTAAGTTCATGCTTAACCTCTCCTGAGTTATCAGTATTTTAATGGCAATATTTTATATCTATCTTATACTTTTAGCAAACTTAAAAATAATTTTATAAAAACAGTTTATTCTGCGTGCTTCCAGAAAAACAAAATTGTAGCCAGTTGGGATCGCGCCTCACTTATTTCTAGTTACATAATTCTGGAACGTACATATTCCGAAATGATCATGATTCTGTCATATAGATGGAAAATGAACACTTCGCCCCCCCCCCCACTCTTCCATTGGTTACTTGCAGTAGCCATACATAATTAGGTGTAAAATAACAAGATAAGTGATATTATGAACGTACAGCGACCTTGGCAAATGAACTAAACGATAAAATTACTTGTATTTTGTGGCCCTAGGCTGTTGTCTACTTTACCTGTTCGATAACGTCAACCTGTCTATTCTTTTTTTCGCCAGGGGTGATAATACTATGATATTCAAAAATTAAGATGTTTCTGCGTTCCCTCACTTGTTCATCTAAACATACTACCCTGAAATAAATAAATTGTTTTGTACCATGCATTATGCACACGTTAAATCTCTTGTTGAACTAAGTAGCCAACTGTTGACAGTGACGTTTTTTGACTTATTCCAAACATATGCGTGTATTTTTCTGCTACTGTTCATTGGTGGAAGTACTGCTACAGCATGTGTATCAGTTCACTGTGAAGTGAATGAGTAACACGTGATGGAAAAGTAGAGTTTCTGAGAACAGCTGAAAGACATCTACAATGTCCAGGTCTTTCATAGGAGCCACTGGAACAAAGTTGGGTTTTCAGGCCAAAAGCTATTGCTGCCAAGTTTCAAATTTGTTATTAGTCATGTGTTATAGCAGCATGATTTGTTTAGTGAGATCAATCTCGGCAGATAGTGATATTGATATGTCTCGAGTTATTCTGCCACCACAACAACAACAACACAAGATTTCTCTCATCACTATAGGACTAATGAAAGCATTGGTGGATGCAATAGAGTTTACAGAATAAATACAAATCACTCGAAGTTTTGCAAAAAAAAAAAGGATACCCTCAAGCAAGACAAAAAAAAGTACAAAAATTGGGTTGAATTTGTCGTTAATTCACACAAAACAGCAAAG